ATTACCCTTGAATTTATTGATTGAGAATATGATTTCATAGTAGTCATAGTGTTTGTTAATTCTGCATAAACATGGGATTCAAAAAGGTAATCTATTTTTTATATGATAAACACATGGTCACCTGAATATCATGTGGATATAACATCCCCGTAATTACCACTTTATTATATGAGATTCTGACAGTTATTTCTAAATAAGGAGTCAAGCAATAGTTTCGTCTGAATTCGTAATGGCTTCTAAAATGTAAATTCAATGAAGATTGAAAAACTATGTCTCCTGAAAGTTCATAAATGTAAATAAAAGCTTATTTTAGCCTAAATTTTACAAGTTTTACGCTTCAATCACTTATTAAAAAGGCTTAGCACAATAAGTTATTATTTTCTAGAAACATTCGCATTTCAATACATTAACTTGGGAAACATCACATTCGATAAGTTCATTTTCTAAGCGTGGGTATTTTTTCCTATGTATTAAGAAGCTTTGACTTATTGGTTTATCGTACTCGTAAGTTACTTCTAAAGTTTGATTGTCCAGATTTATTTGTCTTTAATGCTCTCAAAACATACGGAAAAGAAACAGTGAGATATGTCTAGTAAATGTGGATATCTGAGGCAAATTTTCCTACAGTAATTAATATTGTCATGTAGAGTATCATATTAATTTTGTCATAATAATGAAATCCGAAAAACGTTTATGATGGCAATCACTAAATTTCAACCAACTAAAGTTAAAAACCGCGGTAAATATCGCTGTCATCACCCGTACATTTCTTTAGGTAAGGTATTCACAAAGTTAATTGGTTCAGTAAAAATGAGTGATGTAAGGTTACTGAAATAAATTAGAATATTTCTTGAATGTGATCATGAACCGATTGATGTTAGACCACCATTGGAAACCTAGAGGCACTGGAGGGCCGTCTCGTCCTATTTTGGGACTCCTCAGCAGTGCGCATCTACGATCCCGCTCGCGGGATTCGAACCCAGAGCCTTCAGTCTTGCGCGCGAACGCTTAACTTACTGGACCACTGAGCCGGCATCTAACGGTGTTAATGTCTAACCTCAACCAATATTTTTAGTAAGCTGACCTGATAATATAAACATCAGTTAACCCTAATTTTATTTACATAGATTACATAATTTAAATCAACAAGAACGAAATGATCAATTGTTACGCAAATTCTTCCTAGTTGCGTTGAAATGATTATATAATAATTTAATCCAAATGACGATGAAAATAACCAAACAGAACAACAATTTTAAAACATCATGTTAAATATAAAATAAAAATATATGGTGAATCATTACCGCAATCCCATATACTGAGTGAAAAGATATATCTGACATAAAGTGATTCACACTTTGCTGACATAACTAAACACGAGATGCAAATCACTTACTACTTATAAATCAATATAATTTATTGAACTTATTTAAACTGAACTTAATTATGTGATAATCATACTTCAAACGGTATCCTCAGGTGCGTTTTTTTCTAAATAGATAAAGCAAACAGAATTGATTATATATGATCTCACTTGCTCAACAAATGAAAACCGTCTGTATGGATGTAGTTAATGAACACAGGTTGGAAGACTAAGGAATCGTTTAATACGAAATTACAGAATGTTTTTTAAGCTATAAAAATCATACATAAAATACTTCATTTGTAAACCTCCCATCAACTATCGTTTATAAACTTCATCGTTCTGAAATTTTTGTCGGTATTACAATTACTATCTGTTTACATCCTTGTTCTCTACAATTTATTCTTTTCAATCTTCTCCTGCCACATATTCCATTTCTGATTTATGTTACATACTACTTATTTTTATGTCAACATAAGTACCATACACCACATAGAAACCAAAATGATATAATCAATTTGAAACTATTATGTTTACTACACCTCAAAATACATTTAACATATAAAATACCCGAAACATTTATGAAAAGAATACTAACAATGTCTATTAACTAAATAAAAAGTTATTTAATATTCATTCCTATTTATTTTTATTATATCTAACAACATTTAAAGTAGATAATATATAACCAAATTTAAATAGGCATTTTAAATAAAAGTAGAATGGTACTAATAACAACAATAAATATTTCAGAAGAATAGTTAAAGTGAATAATAACAAATTACAAATTCACATAGCTTATATTTTATTGTATCCAATGATAGGAACGGTTAGTTATCAATCATAGATTAATAAAAAATGTTTACATTTGATCCATGTGAACTTGATGATGATTATGATGAGACAAACTGTTTCTTGTTGGTCTAATAGTCTCTTTTGTTTAGAATGTAAATAAATACTTGTTTTGAATTCACATATTACTTATACTGTTTGAATACAATACATCACCATGGTATTATTTATGTAAACGTGAATGAATCTTCATATTTAAACAGATATGTTAATTTTATTTCAAATAAATAACATACAAACATTTGATGATAATATATACCATTGATTGATTACTATATTTACTTGTTGTGTCAAGTATAAAAGCTGTTGGCATATCTTAAAAATAAAATTTAAATTATGCCTAAAGATGCTTATATGGTTCGCAATTTATTATTATTATTAATATTTATACTGCTAATAAATGAAGGTATATAGTACAATTTTATTCATTTAAAAAAACAATTTTCAAGATTCATTGGTACAGGCTTTAGATATGACATCGGAAAACTATTATCCAACTGATAAGTAAGTAATAATTCATAGACATAAATATTAATCTACTTATTAAGTCGTCAAAGTAAGATATAAAAAACTGTTTTTGGTATTCGATTTATTCTGCATTTTCAAAAATATCTTCTGAACATTGGACAACTATAGAATTTTTCGAAGAGATATTATTGTATAAAGTATAACTAGTTTAAATGACATTTAGTAACATTGTTGTCTTATGATAAGATTGTCTCATAAAAAGTGACTTTTGTACTATTTTTTGTTTTAAATGTTATAGGTATACACTAACCATTGTTATCTAATACACTGAAAAGTATTTACAATACAATATATTTCATTTATGTTTAATATCAGAAAGAGGTTTTGTGAAGATTTTAGTAATTTACTAGTCATGTGTCAATTAAAGCTAGACCACCATGGAAAACCTGGAGGCACTTGAGGGCCATTTCATCCTAGTATAGGACTCCTCGGCAGTGCGCACCCACGATCCCACCCGCGAGATTCGAACCCAGGATCTATCAATCTCTCGCGTGAACGATTAAATTCTAGACCACCGAGCCGGCATTCAACAGTTTTAATGTCTAATCCCAACCAATCTAAGAAATTACGCCACCATTGTGAGCACTGCTGAGGAATGCCATACTAGGACGAAACAGCCGTTCAGTGCTTCCAGGTTTTCCATGGTGGTCTAGCTTTAATTGACACATGGATTCAACTATTAAATTATGTTTAATATTTTAGTGCTAGTCTTACACTAATAAATAGAATCAGACCGTATCTAAGTTATTAATTATTGACTGATATAACTTCAGATTTTAGGTGGCCTACATTGTGACTAGAACGGGTCAAATAAAATTGTGTTATGTCAAATCTGCCATAATTGATGAGATGGTTACAGAATGATAATGAGTATAAAATTTTAATAAAGAACCACTATTCTGTTTGTCCTATCCTCACAAATATGAATGCTATTTGTGATTCACTAAGAAAGATTTCTACTACAATAGATCAAAAGAACTTTAAGGATAAATTAATGTTAAGAATGAATGAGTCTCATTTGTTAATATTTGAAGTGACTAATTTTTCAATATTGTATTCAGTAATATACATGTTAACTGTAAAATATGTAGTGAAGATAAACGTTACTTGAATTCATCATGTTAAAGACTTACGTATACGTTACATAATAAGTGACCTTGATTTTTATTAAAATAATTTCAGTTAATTACAAATTATATGAAATTTCATTTATTATAGTGAGTGCTTACATGATCAATGTTATATACAGAACTGTGACAATCTATTGACAGGTAAGAATTTTTAATATAATATTTGTACTTTGGAAAATACTCGTTCTTCATTAAAGCTTTATTACACTGAAAGAATATCTTCTAATTGTAAACAAAAATTTGAATTAGACTGTGCGTTACTCGTTAATTTATTTAGTGAAAAATGAGATTTTGTGAAAATTGTTCATTGATCCTGATAACAATTAATTTCTTATGTTATGAAATGTTTATAGCTATTTTCAACATAAACTAAGAAAAAATGTCATTCAATGAGTCTATTCAATGAAATGTTTTCAGTCATCTAGCCATTTAAAAATATTATTTCCCTTCTATTCTTATATATATATAACTATACTAGTAATGAATATTTAACACAATACAATTGGGAAAATCATAGGATATAAAAGGTGTCCTATGAGTAAGTGCATCATACACTTTCTAACATCTTATATTGTTCTACAGAATGTCTATCTTTTATTATGTAACTCTTTTGTATTAAATTAATGAAGTACTTTTTAATTTATTATATATTTGAAATGAATTTACAAACCCTAGTCTGCTCAAAGTTGGAAAAAAGCTCTTCCTGGTGTAAAATGTAAGTTGTTGACATAATGGAGTGTTGCTTTCGAAAAGTGAAGACAGTTTAATTATATAATAGTTATCACCTGCTTAAAAAAATAGTTCTCAAATGACATTTCGGTTTAAATTCATATTACTGAGATAGTATACACGTATATTGTCTGACAACAAACATGTATTATCTTACTTACTGATGACTACAATAACTTATCTGAAAAATGTATGCTGGTTTATTTTTACTAATAAGTAGTAAGTATAATAAAAAAAAAGTCGAAATCGGTAACTTTTTATACAATGAAAAAAATTTATATATATTGTAAACTATAGATATCCCGAAATTCGTAACAAATACGTTCAGATTTCAACTTAAAAGGATGATACCACTTACTTCTGAAGAAATTATTGGTCAGTTGACACTAGTTAAATCGATGAATCCTTTCATATTATGCAGAAAACTTAAATTCACTTTGGGAAATAACTCTTCTGGATTACCAATATATCTAGACAGCAGTACGGGTGTACTACGTGCAAGTCAATCACTATGGCAAAAACAAAAAGATAAAACACTATTACTAAGTGTCACTGTAAAAAGTATTGATCATGATAAGTTTTCAGACAGTGCGTTGGTTATTATCTCATGGAAAGATGAATACGTAAATGGAAACCATAACAGCAAAACTGGTTATGATAAACGAGATCGCGTTCCTGAAAAGGATGAAAAACAAATGCCAAAATTAAAGATAGCTACACGTGTAAGTCAATGTAGTTTACCTGTTTTCATATTGCCTTATGTTTCCGTAACATAAAATAATCTAACCTGTATGTCCTTTAGAATTCAATTTCGGTGAGTTATACCATTACATACAACAGATATGTCTGTTAACGTTTTTTTAATAAAATGCTTTGAATATAGAATTACTTATTTTTACATTTTGCTTATGTATGTATTACTCACTGTTAAATTTATTAAAGTCATTTATCGGATCACAATCTATTGAACTTGAATTAACCCGAGAGGACATCAAACCTACAGAGAATGTTTGTCATGGTCAAGCATGGTCAATTACTGCGAAGATTATATTCCCGCCTGGTAACCACAATGTTCATATTGAATTATTAGCACCAAGATACGTTAATGATCTTTGTGGCTACGTCAAATATTTTGGGGTTTCATTTATTGGTCACCATATAAAAATAGGTAAAATCAATTTAATTAAACTAGATCATCTTGGAACTACTCTTGATGATTCGGAGGTATATTTATTTTTATTTTAATGTTCTATGTAATATTGTTAAACTTGGCATTTACCTATTTTACTAAATTATTTCTAGTCTATGTATAGTAATAATTTATAGCCATTTCAAAGTAAACCATCACTGTATACTAATTCATTTATTTGTTGGTTTACGTTGAACATAAACAATAATATGTAATTAGTAGTAGCTGTTCCATTCGGAATATGATTTTCATTTCAATATGTGATAAAACATTAATAATTTACTGATAAAAAGTTTGTGGCAGAACATTGTTAGCAACAAGTACATATAAGTAAATCAAAGGATGATACGATCATAAATAACAAAATGGAATTGTATGTATATAATCTTTGGTGAAAACAATTAGTTCAACTAACAATAATAGAATAAAAGTAAACTTTAAATAGTGACACATTTATCGTAATATTAACCATATTACAAAACTTCATTTCTAGATTGCTTGATTTAAACAATGAAAACTAACAATAACTTTTTTTACTGTCAAAGTGATCAAAATATGCAGTAATAATGACTTGTTATCATAGTTACTAAATTTTGTAAATAGTATATACATTTGTATAGATGTTGTGGAGATTATTAAGTTTTTTTGATTGAGATCATGAACCGATTGATGTTACATCACTGTTGGAAACCTGGAAGCACTGGACGGCCGTTTAGTGGATTGGTTGATGTTAGACACTAACACCGTTGGATGCCGGCTCAGTGGTCCAGTAGGTTAAGCGTTAGAGCGCAAGACTGAAGGCCCTGGGTTTGAATCCCGCGAGCGGGATCGTAGATGCACACTGCTGAGGAGCCCCTAAAAAGGAGAAAACGGCCGTCCATTGCTTCCAGATTACCAACGGTAATTTTTATTGAGTCAGCTCCTCTACCTATAAGTATGTCTAAGGAAGTAAGCTTTTTGGTTTTTTTCTTCACAGAAAAAATGATATGGTTTTAAAGAGCGTCACGTTTATTCAATAAACAATTCATATCCTCCTTTTTATCACATAACTAGGATGTCATCTACACATCGTTTATAAAGGGATATATTTTTGATTAGTTCTTCAGCTAGATTTTCAACATGTACCATAAATATGCCATCTTGTTTTTATTTAATTTTAGCAACTTCAAGAAATCATATTGGAATTTGAAAACGTAGAAGTGGAAAAAGCAATGAGTCCAATACCCGATCCATTTAGTGTATATCTGAAATTTGCTGTGATAATGTTGGAAACTGTTAGTTTGCCTGTGGACGCAAAACTAAAAGCCGGTATTCTTTTGGGAACGAAGGACTTAGTATGGATTGGTTCGCTCAGAATGATATATTCGAAGACATGTCCAACACTACCAATTGAACTCAATATTTCCTCGTACCCAAAGAAGATGGTACCAACCGACATCACTATTGTGACTGCGGATGTATTTTTACCAATCCTAAATGAAAACTACACTGTAAGTTATATTCTTCATGTGGTAAAAATGCTTGTCATCTTATTTACTTTTGGAAGCATCCTTTCCTGAAGATGTCTTTAGTTGTCCTCCAGCAGCACTGTAAAAAATAACGAGAGAATGATAGCTGGCTATGAATAGTGAATGATGAAATTCGCATTTAAATGTTAGATACAATTTATGGTGTAGGTTATTTTTAGATTCATATAATTAACTTGAATTAATACATTTTACTTCAAGAACTACAAACTAGTAATTATTTCTGGGTGCTTAGACTGTACGAAAGGATGACTTCTGTAACTAATTAGAATTCAGAGCCAAACAGTATGCTTATGAGATAAACACAATACTGAAACTTACACTTATGCAAACATTGTACCATTATTATTGATATATTTTACAAGATTCCAAATTACTTGGAATAATACAACTAACCAGCGTACTTTTATGCATTTTCTCATCAGTAACTTAACAAAGGAACCATAGTTGACTGAATGACATGTTTTTGGAGTACTGTATTTTACAGTTATATAAGTTCATTATTACTGCATGCTATCGTGTCCATTACTTTCTACATAGAGGGGAGTGGTTAGCTATGTTTTAGCTATGAAAAGGTATTCATTTAAACCTATTATATCTAATGATCATTGACGAAGTTATCCGATGATAAGTTTTCTATCGTTTGACATCGTTTGTAATGTTTTACAGTACGTAATGCTAGTAATCTCGTTCGTCTACAGGAACGAAATAAAATATAGCTGGTTCTAATATGAAACGCTATTTTGCTTTCTAAGTACATTGTAATGAACGAGAACACAGATGGAGAGACAACGAATTGTACCTTGGTAAATATGAGAATCATACATCATTTTTCCTTCACATTCTGTGTGATTATTCCGATTTACAATCTTTTTCTAAATCCGTTCTTCTTCCCATCAAGACAACATTTATAGTCTTCTGATCCCAGGTTTCCCACTTCCGATTGGCGTGACATACTACTTATGTCGACAGATATAAGTAGTATACACCACATAATCACTTATTAAAACGTAATATGTGCACACTTTTCTAATCCATGCTTGATAAGCTTTATTTTATTTAAACAAATAGAGATTAAACTTACATTATTCTATTTTGACGTTAACAAATATATTTCAACTTGTAGTTCTTCCATAGGTCTACTCATAATTATTCAATTAATCCGTTAGTACTATCATTAAAATAAAATCAATTAAAGAAACTGAAGAAAATGAAAAAGAAGTTATTATTTCCGTCATAATTTCTTTCTCTTCTGTGAAATATATTGTCTGAATCATGAAAGTAATTCTTTTGGAATGTGTGTAGAAATAGTTGATTCACAGATTTCTACCTGAATGGATTCGAATATCTTATTGACTCGTGTATATAGATTGAATAATTTCATAATTTGCTTCCATTTGGCTCTCTGATAAAAACTATCTTTAGATGTATTAGGTATGTTAATGTCCACCAAGTCCGTTAAAGTAGGATGAAAGACAACTTTTAACAGAGCATGTTCAAGTGATGTATTTTTACGTTATCTGTACGTGCTCAGATGAATATAATTCATTTTTAGTCTACTGTGCGTTTCAGTAAATGACTTCCAGTTGATTATATCATAATGATGTTTATAAGAAACTGAAAATACGTCTATTTCATGAAGGGAAAACTCGCTTGCGTTGTTTCGATTTTCAAAGCGTTTACAAGAGAAAAAGATTATTGTGACAAACTTAATAGTTGAACGAACATACTTTCTGTTTTTGGATTGTTTTCAAATCGGATGTGATTACAACAGTTTGCTATCGGTTTATATCTAATAATCACTAATCTATAAATCATGTTAGTCCATCACATCACTGAGGCACATGCGAAGAGGATAGCTTATGAACAATGCGGTCTTATAAAAGAGCATCATACATTTAACAGGTATCGTAAAACGCTTCTAAATATGCCTTAAACTCCTTGAAATCGGTTTACAAACACTTATTAGTTTCATCCAAATATTGACGATCTTAATATCTATGTTATAGTATATTTAGTACATTTAGCCGATGATGAAACTACTCTATAAGCTAATTATTCAAAGTGAATTTAATCCGAAATAATCTGAAAAACATTTAACATTACAAATGAATTTGTTAATTCATAACCAATAAATTACTGATCATTTCAGTAGTTCAGTCATTAAATTTCTCTTTGACTGAATATACAATATTTAGAGAGTATTTACACTCTTTTCAATGAAGTGTTGTTTAGATTTTGAAAACTTAGTAAATTCATGTTACAGATTCTTTTGTTATTCATGATATCTTTAGTTTTCAGTTTATTCAGTAGGTCAATCGGCAACAATCGCTTCATTGAATTTAGAAAAAGGTGAGGGATTCAATAAATATGAGGCTAAATCTATGATGAAAACTACTCAAGAAGAAGTACTGAGTGATTCAATTATCACTAAAAGAATTGATATGTTTGTCGAAGAACTGCGTAATACCTGTAAGCTGTTGTGTTTAGACTTTTAAGTTCAAGGTGTATCCTCATTTTTTTCCTGCTCTCACACTCTAATATTTGATTGATCATAATGTTGAAAACAATTAATTTACATCTTCTGAGAGATCCAGGTTTTACATCATAGGTGAATCACCCTCTGAAGCCGACCATTTTGTTTTCAAACAAATCAAGCAAATCAAGATTCTGCTGTTGTAGCTAAACAGTCAAAACAGAGGCACATTATAAAATGACGGCTATTAATTTAAATGTCTCAGGCAGATATTTTACATCTGGTTTCCTATCATTATTTCTAGCTAATTTTTTCACACGTATCCAAAATATCAAGTTGTTATTAATATTTTACCATACTCCGTCTGAAAATGATGGACAGCTTTTTAATGTTTCAGTTTGATTGAGTTATTAGGAACGTTCTCTCCTCAGTCTGTCTTGTGAAAATATATTAATACTACGTCCACCTGAGATCAATCCAAAGGTTGTTTTTCTAAATAAAACATCGGTTATATCGGTCATATTTATTAGCAAACCACTGAGCCCCTAGATCGTTGATTTGACATTTCAGTTTTAAATACACTGTTTTTGTATATAACTGGAATATTTCTCAATATTTTAAATGTAGACGGACTTCTTTACCATGCTTCAAGAGAAAGCAAGACTGTTAAGTTGGTTGTTTATATACAAATATTGAATAAACCGTCAACTAGAGTGATAATTGGTTTTCGTGTTCACGCTTCTAACAGAAAAGTTATCTATGAGGAATGTAATATACCCATTGTTGCAAATTCTAATGACAAGGGGAAGGTATGTCTCTTTTAGGTAATTTGTCATATCAAGAATTTTAACTCAAAACACTTCAAATAATGAATAAAAATCACGGAGTGCAGTTCATGGAAATAGGATAAATAGATTGATAATAAATAAATGACATAAACAAATGCAAAATACGAGATTTCGATGTGATTTTTATTACAACTATGAAGCCATAATAAATAAGGATATGGATCGATTCATGGTGACCATATATGAATATTCGTAGTAGAATAAATCTAATACTTGAATTCTATAGAAATACATTCCCATTCACAAGTGAAAACCAACATTTTAATTGATATATCATAGTAACCATAAAATACCAAAGTGAACAGTGATCACTCACGGCTCCACTAGGGATCGAACTTGGGATTTTTGAACCTCAGGGAGAAAGCCTAAACGCCATAAACACCAGACTGGCGTCTAACAGTACATATTTCAAACTTCAGTCGGTCCAAAATTAGGTAAATTAACCATTCAGTTCTGACGAATCCTACACTAAGGGGAAACTATTTTCCAGTGCCTTCAGATTTCCAATGGCACTGAAACAGATCAATCTGTGATTAATATCATTCACAAATAAGTAATTCCCATGAAATCCCTTTACTTCAGTTAACATTAGGGTTTATTTATGAATTAATAATCTAGTTTTCCCGTTATCACGAATTGCACTCTATGATCTCCATTTATTATAGCAGTGTATTCTGACACAAAAATTATTTATCAATTCAAACTAGATTTTCTCATTATTTTATTAAAAAATTCAAATTCCTTGAAATGAACCTAAGACATCTATACAGGACTAAATGCTAATCACTAAACACGAAAAGCAAACACCAAACGGTGTAAGGATTTATACGAAACTGAGAAAACATGCATTTTGTAGGGTTCTCAATCTTCTTGTTGATATTAAGAACTGAATTTTTACTAGTCTTTTCCTGGTATATGCGCACATTGAGCGGACTGTCTCGATACTACAGTTGACACGTTTTAAAGTAAAGATACATAGCGACTAGCAAAGGGTGATAAGAAGCACACCTCGTCCTATTTAGAACTCATCATCAGGATGTATCGGCATTACGGTGTTTACAAAAATCCAGTGCCTTGCACTTCAAATGCCTATGGTGTTATCTATTAGCCTGCTGAGTGGGTACAGTTTAGAATTACATGATAAATGTACTGAGGGTCCTATAACACTTAAGAATATTTCACTGCACTTTTTTCTCTCTTCATTTGCATCCGGTGACCTGTAGAGGCTAGTATCCTCTATAGCTGACTCTAATAAATAGTATCCCGTTAACTGAGTATTTAATGCAGGCTGAATTCCCTAGTAGAAATATGGATTTACTGGAGATTATTCAAAAGCCCGAACATCAGTTATAGAGATAGTTTATTGATAACGATTGGTAAAATCCGCAAGTGTACACGAAGCAAGCACCAGGGAAAACAAGAGTGTGTGTGTGTGTTAAAAATCCATATTTCATACACATAGTTCCCTTTATCATTTTGAAAAGAGCAAGAACAAAGATTCTAGCAGAATAGCATGAATTCATTTTATTTCGTAGGTTCTCGTCAGCTGCTTACAACCTGTGATATTTAAAAATCATAATTACATAATGGATTTAAATTGCTTACAGAATATTGTAAATATATACCTAATGTGAAGGAATATTCTACAACATTAATTGTGACAACAGTTCAAAAATGGGTTAGAAACAATTGATTACATAATGAATAAACATTGATAGGAATATAGTGATTAGAGTTCAGTTGAAAGATTATTAATTTGAAAGATAGTTGAAAAAATAAATTAGAATCAATGATGTAATAAATGCAACAGAAAAAAGAGGAAAAAAAGAAAAAGATTTTAAGGTTCAGTGAAGGAATATTTGTCACCAGGGTAAGGAAAGATTAACCACCGTCTCCTTTTGAATACATAGGTCAGGTTTTTGTCGCCTGATGGCAATGGCTTCAGCAAACTTCAGAAGACTGGAGTTTGGCTGCTTACTAATCACCCTAAAGGATTGTAAGGTATCTACCTGATGTCCTGTATCAAGGAGATGTTTGGTGATCGCACTGTTCAGAGTCTTTCTTTCCCTTGTTCTAAGACTTTTTGGAACATGTTCAAAGAATCCATATATATTTTTGAGTGTTAATCAAGTATGGATAAATTATTGGTTGTCTATGTATCACAACCAATGGGAGAATAGATTAAAAATTAGCATATGCTTAATCAGACTCACACAGAAAATTACATAGTGGATCAAATGTCTAAATTACTGTGAACAGATAAATAATAAAGTAGTGGGATGGGTTTACTACTACAGACCGACACTAAACTCTCAATAACTTTTGAATCTAATCAACATCCCTTAGTCATCTATATGTGCTTTGTTTTATAACCGTATAAGTATGTATACAATCATATACGTAATACTAAACATTTCATTTTCACAATTCTGTTAGTAACTTTTCGTATGATTGTTTAGTTCTGTCTATTAAATGGTTAAATAATTTAATCAATTAGTTTACTTTCAGTTTGTTGTAATGAGAATGCCTTATAGTTATTTGATTTACATTACGTTACTTTAATTTGATAAAAGTACTATAATTTTACCAGTCGTTTTTAGATGAACATTCATTATTTCGCAACAGTATAAAACAAATGATCTTTACACGTCGAACACATTATTGTTGTTTTCTTATAACCTTACTGTTGAGAAGTACCGGAAAGAATTTAAACACCTATATTCAAATGGTTACTAACATAATCATCATGTATGTTTTTTTAAATAATCAGTTTAACGAGATTGTTAGTAATCAACTAACCATTTGACCACTCTTAATGTGTGCAACAAAATAAATTAACACAACAGTAATCATGTACTGATAATTATTAGGCATCTAACAAGAAGTTGATGAATTTGAACACTGGATAACAGACCTGAACTATAATTGAAACACTACTTTCTAGCTTAAATTGGATGATCCATATACTAGTATTTAAAATTTTATGAATGACATTTTTAACTAATGATAATCTGAGTACCCATCGCTCTTTAACTCACCTTTATTTTAAAAAAATTTGTTCATAGTTTCAGGCTTCATACATTGAAAACAATCATTCAGCTCAAGTTGAAACAGAAAAAGTTGGTGAAATTAACTTTAAAATCAGTTTTCCATCCAATTCAATGCAAACATATTCACTAAAACTAAAATTTAATAAGTTTATACTTGGGGAAATATGCTATGCAACTATTACAGATATTGGCACTGGAATTAGGCAAAGGATTATTGGTGTAAGTTATATGACATCATTTTTTTTATGAACCTAGTTATCTTTTATGACAATATCTATGTACATTTAAAACATTGTTTAAAACAAAAAGCAAAGTGAAAGCCATACGAATAAATAAAAAATCACAAAACGTCGACAAGTGATTCGCTATTGAGAGAACATTTACATATTAAATATGGGAAGAGGAAGATTTTACCGACAATGATGAATTAAGTTACAACACTTTTTATATCTTTTATTTTATCACAAATTTGTAAGTTTCCTACAACTGGTTCTTTTGACAAAATTAAGTAAAACAAGCACGACAACAATTTATTGCATTTTGTGATTTCTCTTCAGCTTTTTTAAAGTATCTCATTTGCATATAAACATACATTCTCTTTACTAAATGACAAGTTTTTTTCTCAAGACATGTGATGAAAATCGTCTAAAAAGTTATCTAATAAACACAGAAGTATGATTTTACAATACATCGCTTGGATCTCCATAATTTATTGTCTTTAAGTTTAATTTGTCAAATCTAAGCATAGTTGATTACGGTAAATCTTAGGTTCAAAAAATTGTTACGTTTCCTACCATCAGGATTTGGTATCATTAAAATTCTACTGCAGAACACTTCACTGTGAAATTAATTATAAGACTCGATGTAGGTAAGATTTCAAATAATGGCCTACACTGATAATAGAAAGATATCATGACAGAATATAATTATCTGAAACCATTCATACCGTTTAGTGAAATATTTAATATACTGATTTAAGTTGGCATTAAATGCACTTTATTTATTGCGCAAATAAAAACGTTATGTTTTAATTTTTTTTGTTTCAGATGAGGCTGCACACAAGTTATTCAACGCATGGAATAAATAAATTAAGATCTGAAGCCACAGTTTATCTGGGATTAGTGGAAAACCCAACAGATGACACAACTAAACACTACATTACCTTAAATGTAAAAATAATGCCCCATCAAGAGAAGAGTTTTCCTAATGTATTCACTACACAACTAATAACTGATTTTATTTTAAGTTCAGGTCAAAAAGAAACCTCATCATTGTCTTTTAAAGTTACTAAGTCTAAGCCACAAGTTATTCCAGTAAGTTTTCGATAAAATAAATATGAGATATTTTAAATTGTTTTAAACTAGGACGACTCCTATACTTTAAGCTATTTCTGTAGAAATATACTCCATCTCTCCATGTTAATTGCTAGTCTGTTGATCCTAAAGTAAATCAAATCCGACTACTTTGAATGTTTTTTGATGAAGCAACCGACTAATTTGTCAAATATTTCTCGTATTTATTAATGATTATCGAAAAGCAGCAGAGATAGGTTATAAATGGTTCTGTCGAGGATTTAGTGATCATTAGTAATATTGGGAGGATTTTCGTTTTCGATGAATTTTCTATAATTAACTCTTAACTCAAGTAGGAAACCTAGGTTAGTGGATGTTAGTCATTTATTAAGGAAAGAATACTTGTCATTATATCCTCTGATTTATTCTATTCAGTCTACAATGGTAGCCTACTTCACAATCTCGAGATGATTCTAAAATGAATGGAATCATTTTCTGAAACATTTAAGGTAGCAACTGACATCAAGCTCAAGAAAAATGAAGGAATGCTGAAAAAATCTTTATATTTCAGAGAAAACATATTAACTTGGAATAACACTCTATATGTAGTAACCGAACAGGACCTTATGATACGGAGTAATCGGAAAATTAAAAGTAAGAGAAAACATTGAGAATGTAACAAAGACCATGTAGAAATACGAATCCCAAATTTGTGCACATGGCTGTGACTTAAAGAAAAATCTACTACTTATTCAGAAAACTAGATAACCTGAGTACCTCTTGCAAATACAAAATTATGTTAGTTATCATAAGGATAAGGGTCTTCAAAACGTATAGATTTATTTAATTCGGTCTTGATATGATCTCGATTGCGATTATCAAAAAACGTTCCGAATAATTTAGACTGTAAATAAATGCTGTTATTAGTAACTGAACGAATTTTAAGTCATGTCTTATTCCCTCGCAGGATGATCGTGAGATTTTATGTTTTGTTTATGCTCAATATTGTTTAACACGAATGCAAATTTTTGAACCTATATCCGGCACCCATAAATTTAAAGTCTAGAATTCAAGAATGAATTTAAACTTGATATGTCCATGTACAATATTTTAAACTATATTTTTAACGTATTTGTTGATAATTCTGGTTTTAGTCCCATAAAAGGCCTATAGCTGTCCTAACAGTTCTCAATCCAACAACAAATGTTCGTGCAAAAAACTATTATACAACAATGTTTGCCGTTATCACTTGGTCTGAGATGATTTTATACAGTCCAGTAAGCATAATTCTTCAAATATCTCATGAATCGGAGCTAATCGAACAGCAATTTTGTTCAATAGGTAAAGCTTTAGAAACAGTTGTCCCAATTAATGCTGAAAAATCAATTAAAAAGTAATTGATAAAATTATAAAAATTTCAGTTTTAAAGCTAAATATTTTATCTAATATTGAAGTAATTTCAATAGTTGAGATCATGAGTCGATTGAAGCTAGACCACCACGGAAAACCTGGAAGCAATCGACAGCCGTTTTATCCTATTGTGAAACTCCTCAGCAGTGCACATCCACGATTTGTGATGGTGGAGAAAAAAGCGTCCATCATCCCGCCTCGCGAGATTCGAACCCAGGACCTGTCAGTGTCGCGCGCGAGCGCTCAACCTCCAGACCACTGAGCCGGCCGGCATCCAACAGTGTCAATGTCTAACTCCAACTAATCCACGAAATTGAGCGACACATCCATCATTATTATCAGTAAGTTACTATTTCACAACAAACGCGGTTGAACTCCATTGGATGCTGGCTCAGTGGTCTAGTGGCTAAGCGCTCGCGCGCACAAAATATGAACAAAATGAATAATAAGTTTTTCTGAATATGGAGAAAATTTTCATTGATAATTAAGCTTCATATTCGCATATACTGTGGAAATATCAGGCCTATGAATCTAGAGTCATTGATCATTTAATTAGCGTAAATTTTGGAAAAAAAATCTGAATTCGTTCCTATTTACTTATAATCCTTTCCAAGTTATCAGCTTATTGATTGAAAGTAAGTCAAGGAAGGAACAAATCAACTTTCACATTTTTAGATGAATAAATCTCAAATCTTTCTAGTGGAAACCACATAACTAATTGAATACTTATTTGGAAACTAACAAGAATAGAAATTATTGTGTAGATGAAATAAAACTCATATAAGAATAATAAAAATGAATACAAATTTGCTTCTGCATACATGATTATCTAGTCATGTTACAGTTGTTGAGGCTTCTGATTGGTTTTAACCTCCTTGATGGTTAACATGAATTGCAACATAATATTCATCATTTACTTCAATGTTTGTTCATCTTAAATGCTAGCCACCATCCATCTTTGCCTATATATTAATGCTTGTAAATCTCTAGCTTAGATGAATTCAATATTTAATTTTCTAATTATTTCTCTCTTATTACTTGCAGTAATGTTGGACGTATTGAGCTACCTTCAGTTTACATACAATCATTTGGTAATTATACTAACGAAGAACGATCAATGACAATAAAATATGTAATACAAATCAATGAAATCAAGTATATTATACTAAGTCTTGATATTCTATTTAGTGGAGAAAAGATATCAAAAGAGATCACATTAGCACCTAAAACTAATACACCTCAATCTGCACTTGTAAGTTTTTTGAACTATTATTCATTCACAATAATCATATTTCCAAAATCTGAATTTCAGAATAAATTTATCTACTGCACCACACAAACAAGCAAAATTCATACTGTTAAGTAGATTGTTTTCCTCACCAATATATCTACTACCTTTTACAATTTGTTGACAGTTAAGATAGAAAACAATTGTTATGAATAGTTATTGGAGTCTCTCCTGGGGTTGCTGCCGGTCCCAAGCCTGGATAAAGGAGGAGAGTTGGGCAGGGGGTAGCTACCCCGTCCCGTAAAAAACTAACTCGCTAAAAAACGCTAACCAGAAAAAATTATTCAAACCTTTTAAACTCTGTCTTAGGAGTCAGATGGTCTTCACTTAGAAGAGTTATGATGCCTCATGATGAAAGCCGAGTCCCTTCGGAAGTTACGAGGCTGATGCCTCTTCTGACAACCAGAGCAACCATTTATTTAGGTACATGGAATACTCGTACAATGTAGGAGACCTGGAGAGTCTTCCAAATTGCTGCAGAAATGAGGAGACACAACCTAGAGCTGCTTGGGATCAGTGAATCTATTCCATTATCTTGATTCAAATCTGTCACATTAGAATTTTATGATCATCTTCATGAACGATAAAGTAATAAATGGTAAATGTAGATTATTATAAATTTTTGCATAACACATAATTATTTCAATTAGATATGATTACAATTTGTATGATAAACATACGCTAAATAATGCAAATTACTTATTACGGTTTTCTAAATAAAATCATACTGAAGTGTAAGTATGTTTTATTTTGTTCAAGTTAAATTGTTTTTTGGTTTCACTTTTCTAGTCTTTAAATGAACAACCATCTGGACTACTGCAAAGTCTTCTAATTAGTCGTGCAGATAATTATCTTCATCCAGATTCATTCAACATTATTATGGCAAGTGTAGTCATTTCTCCAAGTGCTAGACAACAATGCTCTATGAAAATTGAAACATCTAAAGTTCAGAATGAAGTCAATTTTATTGATCCTAAAATTTTGGATATTGGTTTGGCAATAACATCTCATAAATTTCAGTTTAATGTATCAAACAGCGTAGTATATATAGGGATTGCTAATCAACAGTTTGAAGGTGAGATGTTTGTTTCACAGCTTCTACAAAACTATATTCAGTAACTCGCTTATTTTGCAAACTATAAAGTATAATAAATATATTTAATCGAGCATTCCTGATTCTACGTAATTTCTAGCCAAGGATAAGAATTACTTACTTGATCTTTTGAAAGAAAACATGATTTCTTCCATGTGACAATATCCGCATAACTTTTGTTTTAATACGATTTTAGTTTGGTGTGGGTTCTGACTAATTAATTCATACATTTGAGACAATTTAGAGAAATAATAATATAGGGACTCGTAATATGAAAGCAAGTATTAACGCTATTGTAAATTAGTGTGTTTGTACTTCTTTGTATACATGTATAATGTTTTTGAAATTGTAGTTCAACTTATATTCTTTTTAATCTGATCAATCAAATCCATCAACCATTAGGTATTTTGTCATACTCTATTTTCATTTATTCATAATTCTGGATAACTCTACGTAATTAAATTTATCAAGAAGGATCCATATAAGTTCATCAGGATCTCTTATTTGTCAAGTTTTTAAATTTTGAACCGTCAAACATCATAAATAAACTTTATAAACAGTCTACTATTTAATTCGTTTTGTAAAAAAGAAATTTATTTACTTATGAACCAAACATATGCAACTGATTTTCATTTTGAGCACTCGCAATCAGTCAGAAACTCATGAATAACAATTGTGTCACTAAATGCACATACGTCTATTCAGTTTTAAAACTCTTGACTATTTATTACCATTATAGACGAGTGGGTGATTTATATTTATTAAAATTCGCCATTTTTGTTAATCTATCAGTTTATGAGATGAAATAACTTTATGCATAACACATGCTGTCATAATTTATGGGTATAATGGTTTCAATTAATTCCTTTATATAATCCTAAATGTGACAATGATTTGTGTAATTATACATAACTTATTCTTTGAAATTTTATACATCTTTGTATACATTAGATAATCAACAAGCAAATGGTGCGGTTACCAAAAACGAACCAACATCTATTAACATTATGATTCCGTTAAACATTACTTCCACCGTTTCTAATTCCATCGATCTGAAGCTTGTTTTATTTGGTGAAAAGCAAAATTATGAATTCCCATTTATGTTTAATATTGGTCCTTTGCAGGTAATTTTTAATTACTTTCGTTTCATCTATTTTTTCAGCGAACTGCTGAGAACACTGGTATGCATTTTACTAACAAAATTTTCTCCTTACGAACTTTATACAAAATTAACTGAACAAAGACATACAGGCACTCAGGAATTAAGAGGTGTGATTGTCTCCTTACACCAAATATTACCATAGAATCTTCCAGCATATTAGAAAATAAAATAATTTATTTTAGATGTACAGATGAATGACATTATAAATTTAGTAAAAGTGCAAAGTTCTGTAGAAAGTAGGTTCATCCCTCACAGTATCTGATACGAATATGTGTTCTCTATGCAGAATATTCTTCCTCTTTTGATTCCCCGTTTACAGAATGCATTTAGATTAACGTAACTTTCGAAAATTTCTATTCTTCAGAAAAAACAACCGTGATTTTTAATTTAGACTCGCTGAACCGAATAGTTAAATAGTATCAGTTTTATACACTTAATATGTTTTAAAAACATTTTTTCATTAGACTATTCCACCTACTGCTCTCTTATCAATAACATATGAAATTGACGCCATAAACATTGATGAACAACCGGATCGTACCGATACGCCTCTTACTCCTGGTGAAATTGGACGAATTTACAATCGAATTTCTTTAAATTTACCGAAATGTGAAGAATATCAAATATCATTTTCTACCTTACCTAACTCTCCATGGCCAGTTGATATAATTGATATCCTTATTTTGGATGTTAGTAATTACATTTGGATTTCCGATTTGTCAGATTATCAAGTTATTAAATATAGTAGGTAAGTTACTACTCAAATAAGACTTCCATATTGTGAAAATATTTCGTGAAGAAAATGTTTTTTCGACAGCAGAGTATATATACTAATTAGATTATAATTCTTTCAACATATGTGGGCCAATTAATTTGTAGGAGCTATAGTTCAAAGGAACTGACATCATTAGCAAAGAATTTGTGTTTATAGGAAATTTGTAAGTTTTAAGACACAGTACATACAAATCGCTCAGATGAGTTATCCAAAAATTTGAAATGAATCCACTAGTTAAATAATGAATGATAGTTACCTTTGGGGTGACAATTATTTGTGCTAACAATTATTGCGAGATGGATACAATTTAAGATCGGTACCTGTAGCCATCCAGTAACTTGTTGAATATAACATTATTTTGTGAAGTGTTAATTTTTAAATTAAGATCTTAGTGAATATCGACCACGCGATGAATTTACATCTAGACAGTAGGTCCTGAATAGGACGAAACACTGATCTTGAGTTTCGATTCTAAAGTGTCTGAAGATGTGTTCAATTTCTGGAATTAATTTGATTTTTTTCCTTATTTAGACCTGGTTCACTTACAACTGATTTGGCTTCAGTCAAACTAATGATATGTGCTCCTGCTGGGTTCGGAAATGAGGTTAGTATCGTGTTTTTATAATTGTGCCCAAATTATCTAATGAATTTTTCAAAAGAATAAATTTTAAAACAACTTATTAAATAAAGTGATTCTTAGCGTGATTTACTCAACTATGTACTATTTACGAAGACTTAAGATTATTCACTATGTCTTAGTGAGAACTTAAAGTGATTAAATTCGAGCATGATCTAATCATCTAAAAGAGGATAAAACCATAAAATGTCTCCACGATGAATTTTTCCATGCTTGCGATACTTAGAAGACAAAGTTAACGATCAATTCAATCTTAGTCAACGAATGCAATATTTGATCTCAAGTATAACAAGTTGAATGAGATTAATTAAAGTTTCGCTACGAAGTATTAAACCGTTAAGTTGTCTAAGAGTAGGGATTATAACTTTGAAAGGAGTAAGAAGCAAATGAGCGATTCATAAATGAATAGTTCTCATAACTTCAAAAAGTAGTCATGGAATTGTTGAAGTCTTAACGTGGTTTCAGAAATCTCTGGTATTTGGACTCTGAATGGTCATCGTTAGCTAAAGTAGTAAGTCTCGTAACTTGGGCAGAAATCAAAAATGTCTTTTTAAAATGTTTAATTTATGTAGTGTTGTAAATGCTCGCCTAACGGATTGGATATAGAATAAATACCGTTATGATTCATTGCAATTAAATTTAGTTTCCTATAATCCATATTCAAAGATGTTCTTTGTTACAAAGCTGCTTATATCCAACAATGAAATTATATTTTCAATTCCTAAAAAGAAAGTAATCGTGAGAATACCGCGATGACCCACTAGTTCGGAGAATAAATCTTATCTCTATTAAGTCTAAAATGTCTGATATCACTTTTATCTTAAGCAATCATTCATTGTATATAGGTACGGGTTGATGTATTTATTCGTCCATGGATTCGAAACAATAATGAGAAATTAAAAAGTCAGCAAAGTGTTACAATAATTGGAAATGTAAAAATTAACAGGATTAGCTCTGATTTTAATCTCACTTCATGTATATTTAACGTTTCTTCGGAGAAAAGTATGAAGCAATACATCCCTGAAAATAATAAACCTTTAAATGCTAAACAGGTAATTTTCAAAATTTTTATAATGTTATCCTTTTAATTTTAAGCTGATAAAGACCGACTATCTATTAATTTTGTTGATGTTTCTCACAAACCTTAATAGGTTACGGAATATGTATCGTACTGTAATGAGAATGAATAGACGAGGTACATTAGACAACCAGTGATTACAAGTTTATTTACTTCTGATTAGAATTCCTATTACAGATTTATAAATTTTTAGCAAAACAAAATTTATCTTAAACTTAATGAATTTATCAGAAGAGGTTTTATGGAGATTTTAGTAATTTCAATAGTTGAAATCATGAGTCAATTGAAGCTAGACAAAGATGTGATTTCTTGAATTATCTGTTTGTTCACATGTGCTTCTCATGAATAGCATTGTTTATTAAAAAAAGTATCAATGTCACGGAGTTTGTTTATTCTTTACAAGTTTCAACTAGATGCTAGTGCTCCCAGTGCATATAGTAATAAGTATATGAGAAATGTAAATTATCTCATTTAGTTTATAATATGCTGCTTCTTGTAATTCCCAATCCACAGTTATACTTTTTGTCATATATTTACCAAAATGTGTGCAATCAAAATATGTTTAAATTAATTATCTACAATTTCATTACTGTTGCAGTGAACGAAAACTCAAGCGGGCTTTTGTAAAACATGAAAACCATACATTGAATAGATCATTTGCAGATCTTATATGCGTTGTTCCTACCCTGCTCCATTATTTTTCTATTGTTATTTTGATTGATCTTCAATTTCTTTTCTATTCTCTTAAATTCAATCTTCTGCTGCCAGGTAATCCATTTTCAACCGCGACTACATACTACTAATATCTGTCAGTACAGGTAGCATAAACCACAGAATTACCGTTCAAATTCAACTAGAGATATTCTCTTTTCATCTACCTTTCTAGTTAAAACTAAAAACACTAAAGGCAAACACCTTGAAATTAAGTTCATTACAAAAAGAATTTTAACAGTCTCATCAACTAAATCTAAAATTCTTCTGTAATTTTTATTCATATGTTTGCTAGTTTAGTTTAATCCATATGATGTACTAATTGCAAACAACTAATTCAAAGTACCTAATCAACTAGTTTAGTTTTTATTACGTTGCATTAAAAATAATGTTTACAACTTATCAATAAATTAAGCATCGTATTTTATTACTGAATTCACCCTAATTAAATAAAGATTCAGTAACAATGATTATAAAATCTGTTATTGTTCTAAAGATCACTTCATGAACATTTCAGGAATGATTTAGAGCATAGATGTGGTACTTTTGATTTGATTATGTTCTTTGATCTAGATTATTGAATGAGATTCATTCAATATTGTTCTGAAAGATACCATCTGTTCTTACTTCAGCTTCGCATGTGAGTAAGTAAATAAATAATTTAGTTTAAAGAATATAACCAAGATATTTGATAAGTATCATTACCAAGGTTTTATTTGATAATTTCGAATAAATTGAGCATTGGGTAGATTGTTATAAATAAATACTATATATGATAGATAATATATCTCTGAAGAAGTGGCTTACACTAAGTCAAGAAACGTCAGAAAATCTAATTTTTCTACTCAGTTGTATATTATAAATATATTATTTATTTACAGGATATTCGATGTTATACTACTTTCCACGATTTAAAGCAATTTGTCCCTTTGGCAAGTTTCGATAGTGTAATAAGAAGACGAAGATTATCAGAACTATGTGATATATTCGCGCAATGAATTTCGAACAACCTGATCACACATATACTTGTTAAGAACATTTATTTATTAAAATAACAGGTCAACTAGACTGGAAATGGGGGTAAAAGGAAACAAGGATAATAATAAGAGTAATAATAATAATAATAATAATAATAATAATAATGTGAACACAATTTAAAACCCAGTCACTCTGGACAATAAGCCAATATTACCAGGGTAGGTTTAAGGTGAGAACAAACTGCTTTTGAATACACAAAGGGTAATATTTGAACGAAGAATATTCTTTTCGATAAATTCTCTTCAGGTTCTACAATTATATATCCAAGTTATTAATCCGAAAATTGGCCAAGTTAAGGGTAAAGTACATCGTTTAGAATCACAATTGATTGATCACTGGGTGGTGATCAATGTCATGCTTGTCTAGTCCTTATTAGTGCAGATCGAATGCTATCGATCATGTTGCAACGTGGCCACCAGTCTAGGTGACTCGACACTGCGGGCACTATGTATTGATATTTAGATGGTAGTTGGAGGTAGTCAACATTGATCACCACCCAGTGATCAATCAATTGTGATTACATCTCAGTCCTACAGGAGGTTAGTCACGGCTCGGATAGCTCAGTGGTAACGTCTCTGACTGTGAAGCTGGGTGACACGAGATCGAATCCGCCAGGGAGCACCAGTTCCCTCAAGATTACAGGTACACCTTGCTGACGAGTGCCAAGTAGCACGAAACCCGGGTCCAGGGTTTCCTGTTGACTACCTCCAACTACCATCTAAATACATCGTTTAGAGCATGTGAATTTAGGATTGTGATAAACAAAATACAATAAAATTGTTAATGTTAATATGACTTATATAAAATGTTAACTTGAATCTGCGTATATGTTAAATGAAATTTTAAGATCCATGATCAGAATAAATATGGGTCAAATAGGGTGAGAGAGAAATAATAGTGCAATTACAATTCGATCAAATAAGTAAGACGTAATACGGAGGGATGAATGCGAAGTGAATGAATCATGTATAGGGAGATTAATGATGTTTAACCAATAATAATAATAATAATAATAATAATAATAATACGAATAATACAAAGATTTATGAAAAAAGATAACAGGGACAATTACAATTGACTACGAAAGGTCATAGTCAAATTGGGTCATTCAATAGTTAAGATTACGATTGATTAATTGGTCTTGATGTTGGCCAGGGGAGGAGGAGTGGCTAAATATATTTCTTCTGTACGCATAGCTCTGGTTTCTTTATTCGGATGGCTACTGCTTCAGCCGTTTGAAGGACTTTCAGTCTGACCAGTTTTGGCAAAAAATTACTTACCTTATACATAATTGAAAAAGATTGGTTTATACTGGCACTATCACCGGTTTGTACTAAATTGGCCAATATTGAGCTGTTCACCTTCTTCATCAAACCTTTGTTTAACCACGCTGGAAGGTGTTCACGAGCACGAAAATGTAAATTCCTAGAACTTCGACCAATATAACTCGCTCCACAGGAGCAGTTGAACTGATAAATACAGAATGAGGTGGTCATTCTAGGTAATTCATCTTTTAGCTTCGGTGTAACCATTGGGCGCGTAGAAAATACTGATCGCATTTCTCCGGCGTCAAAAGACTTTTGTATTGTCCTACGTAGTCTGAGTTAGTATTTCGCTAGCCGCATCCCCTCTGAATTGTAGACGCATGAACAAGGATTTCTTTTTCACTGTTTGTATTTCGCCTACTTTAGCCTTCGTGACCATATATTTAATTGTAAACTTTCTAGGGTAGCAACCCCATCAATCTGGCGAAAGTATTCACTTTCAAAGGTGAACCCTATCCGAAAACGTTTATTTAAGTATCCTCTGAAGGTTTCTTTTGAATTAGTCGATCATTTAGGTGATATTAATATCAAGGAAAAGACAATGTTTGCATTTGATGGGAATTCCTTGTTCACAAATGTATCTTTGAAAAAGACTATTGATATGTTATGTGACTACATATCTTTAAATAACATTAACTTACGTGTCCCTTTAAAAACTATTAGATTTACTATTATTATGTACTGACAAATTTCAGTTCATTATTGTTATTATTATAAACATGTTCTTAACAAGTGTATGTGTGATCAGATTGTTCGAAATGCATTGCGCTAATATATCACATAGTTCTGATAATCTTCGTCTTCTTATTACATTATCAAAACTTTTCACGATTTCGTGGAAATTGAAGTATTCTAAGTAGACTGTATTTAATATTGTAGGAATAATGCTTATTTTCGGGTTTTATTCGAGCAACCCATTGATATTAATTTTGTTTCATCTTCCTTCTTCAGATACTTATCGTATCGGCTAATACAACGGACAACTTATCTCCAGGAGTAGGTGAAACCACTAAATTCACATTCTTTATTCAAGTCCCAGAAAATTCTAAATTGCCAAACTGTTCAGTTGTATTTAGGTCCGGCTATAGCAATATAAATAATGAGTCAGAATTGACTATTTTGAAAGTAGATATAGAATATGGAAATGTATTTCGAAACTCACAACGAGAGAAATTTAGAGTTGAATACACATCCAAGTATCTTAATGGACAGAATGATACAGCATCAGTTGATTTTGGCAATCTGGTCAACCCAAGTACGTTTTTTCGAAGTTGTTTGCTAATATCCGATGTGTTTTATCATTTATTTAAATTTTGATGATGTCACTGTTTCCACTGGAAGGTTTTTGTTAATGACATGTCGGAAATAAATCTAACTAATGGTTTTCTAAAATAGTATTCATATGAATAACGGACTGAGAGTGGGTAATTACGTTTCTACACCCAAGTAAGTCCTCTTAATCAGTGTGAATTATTAGTGATGTTCAAAGAACGCTCATAGTACTGAGAGATACTTAATGAATAAGCAGGAACATAAGTCATCCGATGTCCTCATAGACATTTGTAGTGATAACATTCTGGATTAGGATCGTAGTTGAAAATGTGACGGGGTCAAAATTTTTACTTTCTGTTACTATTTCTCACTAATGCTCCAATTTTTTATTCGGTTTGGTGATTAGTCGCTGAATTATTCATTTTGTTCTCAATGCAAAACTTTGTATGGTATTGATTTTATCTGATTGTGACCTTTACATTAATTCTCGCTGGGTTATGCAGCATGATTCTCCTGCAAACGTCCTGTATGGTATTTGCCAACTAACCCTGAAACACGGTTATTTCATTTTGGGTAATATGCCGTATTTATGGGGGATAAATGATAATCATCACCAGTTTTTCCTTACTATTTTGTGAAGTCTAAATATCAATGTGTTCCTGTTTCAAGTATTCACCACCCATGGTTACAATAATTTTCAGATGGATGGGTTATCATTGATGAGATATGATAATACTTAATAGATTGCTGTCATAAAATCTGCTTGAGAATACATGTATCGAAACGATAAAGTTAAACTATTTTCCATTAGTCATCAATAATATGAAAAATGGTTCACACCTTGCGACGCTGGCTTATTAATTCACTAATTACGTGTAAATGGTTTTTGAAATACAATATCAACTAAGCTCATTAAGTTTACATGAATTTAACATAAGTTTTTGTCTTTTTCTCCTTTTTAAAGGCAATTTCAATGAACACTCTAAAAGTATCATAAGAATTAATGTCACTGCTCGTGTGTCCGATAGCAGAGTGGTAAACAGTGGGTCAAAAACAAAGTTAGGAATGACAGCAAAATTTGGAAGCTTGTTAGGAACTACAGAAGTTTTTCAAGTAATCAAAAGAAATGGAAATGAACGAGCAATCATTTCTATGAATTTACAGGAGATACATGAAACTGGAAAAGATAAACAATTGTATGTTCTGAGTATAGCTACAATCAACTAAAAAAACAACCAAACTAATAAACTTTTTGATCAGTTTTTTAGTGAGGTCTTTTTACATAACGATGTAATGGATTGTTTAAAGTCGACTTTTAAATGTTGGGTGATTTGACTTATTTACAAATGTTCAGTGTGGTATCAATCTTTTATAATTTTTTTGGTGGTTAGTAAAATATTACGTTCACTGTTACTTAATGTACAATCGTCTAAGGCAACCGCCTATCAAATTCCAATAATCACAATAATATGAATGAGTTTACTTTGCAATACCAAACTGTAAGTCAAGTTATTCATCAGTTAATCAATAAGAATGAAGTCGAATTGTCATCTTACCAAACATATGATGGATAGCTAGAAATATAAGTTCATAATTTAAACTAATACTTGCCATATGTATCACAATAGACATAGATCATTCGAATTTATTATCTGCTCAAATTTCTGGCGTAAGTTATTCATTAAACTACTATGAAACTTTATGAGATAACATTTACCTAAAGTATTCATTAGGAGCAAGAAAGAAATGAATTTGGCCACTGTCACAAACTGAGCAAATGGAATTTAATAGCAGCTATTCAGTTAACTATAATAAGACCCTAAATAACAATAAGCAATTCAAAGAAAACCAACTATATTTATTAAAATGGATTATAACATCACCGTCCAGAAGCCTTAGTATAAATGACAAACTACTTATAGCGTATAAGCATACGAAGTTTATAACTAAAAAATCTGTCTTGTTTTTTATTCAAATATTTTTATTATGTAAAGAAAAAGTATTGATAGCATTATAACTAATACTCTAAGTACTTTGTATTAAATACACATATCTTGGTTTCTGAAACTTCCCAGACATTATTACTACAACACAGAATATAAAATTAATTCGAACTAATAGTCAATTATTTTATCAAAGAAAGATTATTTCATCTAAATTATGAAAACACTTGTGATGTTTTGTGAATATATGTGCATTTCGAAGAAGTTTTATGCAATCGGAGTTCCATAAAACCACTTTATCGAATGATAGTCTGCTAATTATCAGCAAAACGTTTACTGGAATACTTTGTTTCAGTTGTGAATAGAGTGACTATTCACCACAAACATTAGATGGAATTTTTCATGAATTCTATGAAAGTGAAAAATTTATTTACCAGATTCCAGTTAACTGACTGTACACTGTGATTTCTACTTTAATTTATGGGTGCCCGAGTCTTGACCTCAGGTATTGAAATGAATGTGGTAATGTGAAGTTCAAAGTGATACTAATATCTCTTTAGTGCATTCTTGATTTTTACTTACTATTGTTTATGGGATGTTTAATCCGAGAAATTTTGTTACTATAACATTTCTGCTGACAGTTATGGTGAAGGGGATATACTTATATTAAATCTAGAAATGAAAATGGAACGAAACTCCTCTCTTGAATGTTCCAGGCATACACTGAATGTTTATCCTGGAGTGAGTGTGAAAAATGTAGACGTCTCACCGCTTCAGCCAAATCTATCATTCATGTACTACAAAGTGCCAAATACCAAACAGTCTGGCCCACTTGTATTTAAAGTGAGTTTAATAATATGTAATCTCCTAAACTTCATTTCATTGCCTAGGTAAGTGAAAAATTAAACGAATCCGATACATAGTGGTTTATTACAACAAAAATATTGAGGATAGTACAAGTATTTTGTGTTAACAAGTATACATTAATGTTTATCTTTCTGTATATACAACCTATCCAAACTTGATGATTACATGTGGTTTCAGGATACAGATAGAATCATATTACATACACTAATAGATACCAATCAACCGAAATTTCAGATAATGCCTATATTATTAATTAAATGTGAAGATGTGTTATGTTGATCCAAGAGGAGATCACTAAGATCTTTAAATATATTAATTAAATGAATGTATATTATTGTTGAGGGTTATGGGGAGTAACAGACAAGATTTTTTCTTCTTATAAATGCATTTTTCAAAGATTGATATGGCGCTACCAGTTATACTCAGTCTCGTTTATTGAATTTATGTCCGTACACATAAGGAAGAATTCAACGATAAATTTGGTTAATGGACCGTGTGCAGACTTATGATTCAAATAGTTCAGTGTGTCAGCATTTGGATGATAATAATTATAATATAGTCACTTTATTTCCTTTCAACTTACAGTGAAGAAACGCCAGTTTCTATCACTTACTTTTCTATCTTCGTTTTAAGCCTAACTCTGTCCGATATTTTGTTAACAGTGACCATCGATGGGTCTGCTGATATAACTTCCTATACTATCATAACTATGTAACGAGAATAATCTCTTAAACGTTTTAATAAACTTACACTTGAAGAACGTAATACTTCAAGAAATTGGTCATTATTAAACATACATAGACTTGTGTATCCACATATTTTGACTAATTCTAATTTATTAGGATAATACTAAAGATGTGAGTGCATGTAACTTAACAATTCTTTCAGCTTTTCATTGTAATGAAGCTAGTTTTTTATTATGAGGGTTTCTGGATAAAAAAAACTCTCAGAATTCCATCGTACAATAACCGGGTAACGCTTTTGTATATCTTCAAGAACACTTTTTTTTACTTTCATCGAAATAGGGAAATTCCTTTCGCTTTGATAATGCAATCTCGGTCAAAATCTATGTCTACTTCAAAGACCAAATATTTTTACCATCACAAAAAAATACGGCAAAATATACTGTCGTCGCAGAGCTTGTTTGTATTTCCACAAACAGACCTCAACAAGTTAGCCCATACATCAGTAGATTTATGAGTAAAAGAACCGTTACACTTGCTAGCACAAATTTCATCAGTAAGTTATGTTATTTTTCTTGAGTTCATCTGAGTTCATTAAATTTTTCTAAGAATGTTGCGATTATATAATGTACAAAGTTTTAACAGTTTTGGAAATGTCAAATCAAATTTACAAATATTTGAGATCTAAAGTTTTTTTCGGTTTAAATCATTTGTAATTTCTAACAACAATGTATTACTCCAGATGTGTGGAGAAAACCGATATTATAACACTGAAATGTAGTGTTTTCAAGTTGAGTTTATGAACAGATTCATCTATTCTCATCTAAGATAAGTACGAAGAAAAACCCACAAGGTACTAATCAGTTCCACTATGTAAATTTCGGATCAAGTTGAATTATGACTCTACAAGCTCTAAGAATGAACATACGTTTGACAATAAATAACCATATTCAAAAATTTTAATCGACGAGTATAGATTTAAAGAAATTCTGTAATTAGAAATTGGACACGGAATGACAGAATTCTAAATAATTTCAATTTTGAAAAGTAATAAATAGAGCTCGGTTTAAACTTGAGATAATGAAGACGAATTCGTAACAAGAAACATGTTTGCATTATACAATCATTCAAAGAGCGAAAGATGCATTAAATAACCACGTAATATAAAGATACTTCATAAAGGTCTTGAATAAAATGTTCATAGCTAAACCGTATAATTTTTGTGCGTATAAAACTACTCATTATAATTCAACTCAATTTGTCCTCGTTGATTCCAGCAATGCATTTAGCAAAAGAATAAATATTAGCGGAAAAATCATGAATACAATCCATTTATTGTTTAGTTAAAAAAGATTCGATGACTTTTTGAATTCTACTAAACTAATACCCACTGAAGAGTATTAGCACAATTCTAATCAATCTACAATAATTTAATGACACAAGTTTGAAAAATCTCCAAAATATAAAAAGATTCACTATGTAACCATTCAATTTACGTATAAACGTTGGGTAGTAGAAACTAATTTTCAAATACCAGTAGCTGATACTTGATTCTCAAAATTTTATCTGTGTGTCTAAGAGTTTATTTGTAAGCGATTTAATAGTTGGAATCATGAGTCAATTGAAGCTAGACCATCATGGCAAATCTGGAAGTACTGGACGACCATTTCGTCTCAGTATGGAACTCCCCAGCAGTACCCATCCAGGATCTTGTAAGCTGGACTCGAACACAGGGCCTTAGGTCACGCGTGTGAATGCTTAAACTCTAGACAATTAATTGTTCAGTGGGAGTACTGTCTTAAGTTAACACAACTATGATGTATGAAAATTATTCATTTACAATTACTGTACAAATGACATAATCGGAGTGAAAATCATATATTTTCGTTTAAATCAAATTCAAGGAGCTGGGAATTAAAATACGCAGCTTTATTTTCTTCAATAAATAACTATTGTTGTCAACTCAGTGTAAATAATGTCGTATTGAAGTCTCTGGATTTTTTTCTCAAAAAATGTTCATTCACTATAAACTTGGTCAATTGTAACTATACAACTGCATTACTTGCATTTACTTAGATGAAATTTTTTTTAAAAATGTATTAACTGTTTTACCAACTTTTATTTACCCGCAAAATAATAGAAATTAGTGTATCTATTGTTTACGTACTAGCTAAATAATTAACTAATAGAAATAATACTAAACATAAAAAAATTACACAGATTGAAATCATGTGTCAATTGAAGCTAGACCACCATAGAAAATCTGGAAGCACTGGACGGCCGTTTCATCCTATTGTGGGACCCCTCAGCAGTGCGCATCCACGATCCCGCCCCTCCCACGAGATTCAAACCCCGGACCTATCAGTCTCGCGCACGAGCACTTAACAATTAGACCACTGGGTCGGCGCCCAACGGTGTTAATGTCTAACTTTAACCAGTCTACGAAATTGCGCCACCGTACACCATTGTCTTCAGTGAGCTGATATATCACAACAGACCTGGTTGAACTCCACTGGTAACGGCTTCCAACTAGAACTCCAGAAGTATCTCTTGAAGTCAGTCACCAGTGAGCAGATGATTATTATCAGAAGGGGTTTGTGGAGATTTTAGAAATTTCAAGGACTGAAATTATGAGTTCGACATTAACACCGTTGGATGCCAGCTCAGTGGCCTAGTTGGTTAAGCGCCTAGCACGAGATTGGTAGGTCCCGGGTTCGAATCCCTCGGGGTGCATGATCGTGGATGCGCACTGCTGAGGAGTCCCATACTAGGACGAAACGGCCGTCTAGTGCTTCCAGGTTTTCCATGGTGGTCTAGCTTCAACTGACTCGTGATTTCAATCTGTGAAATTTCTAAAATCTCCACAAACCCCTTCTGATAAAAAAATTAGTCGAGACTATAATTTATGGACGAGCCAATCGAAAGTGCTTGAGGGATTTCAAGGTCGCGGAGCTAATTTCAGTACCTGATACTCACGTACAATTGGGTCACAGCGGATTTTAGAGCAAATAGGACTACAAAGAAGTTCCTTTATTTGTGATGATGGTAATTAAATGACACGTGGACCTTGTGTAGACTGCCGTGACGACGTTGTCTTTCGATGTGATACATGTTGGACGAAGAAGTTCGCTAGAATAGCAACTTTTTTCCCTCGATTCAGATTGAGACTAAAGCAAATTATGATAATTGTTGCGAACTGTATACCAAAAGCTGCAGTAACGTTGACTGTAACATTCTCAGATGTTACTAAAGCTTCGGCTGTTAAGTGGTATGAGTATTGTAGAGATATATGCATAATAAAAATGACAAGCTTACACAACCAGAGGGCAAACAAACAATACTGAAGCTATGTGGTCAAGGCTAAAAGAGTTTTCGTGATCTTATCATGGCTCCAGAGGCCTACTATTGTGCAGCCATATGGGTGAGTTCCTCTATCACATACACTACGATTTTAGAACCTCTGAACCTCTTTCTAACCTTGACAAATTTTTAAACCACGTAAAAGAAGTGTATCCACTTTCTTTCTTTGGTTTTGTATAATATATTTTTACTCTATACTTACTGTTTTCTGACTGGCTTGTATTTCTCGAGGTCACTTGAGCTTCATTTAAAGGTCTTCCACAAATTATAATTTCGAAGGAAATTATTTGATGATACACATTCAAATAGTTGAAATCAAAGAAAAATTTCAGTAGACAGTCGTACAATTTTCTCATTCTATTCAAAACCACATTTTATATGGAATTAATACAACTTGTACATACTGAATCTTCAGTAGTAACAATACATCTGTACAAATTTAGACGTTTTTGCAAAAATAATTCCAATTTTCTGTATATTTACAATTCAGTGTAAGATCTATTAGTGAAATAATCAAAGATAATAACTTGTAATTCATTCCAGATATAAATTAGATATTTAAAATCGGAATATCTACCCAGTAGTACTGTAGTGAAGGAGAACACAGGTAAGGACAGCCGAATTATATTTAGCATAAAATTACAGAGTTATGTGATAAAATAGAAAAACCGTACTCTGATACTTAATTTGCAAAATGTTCATTAATTGTCTCAGGCTTCATTGTTCCTGAATTTCTTAATCAATTGCTTTCTATTCACGTCCTTCCCTTCTTAAACTTCTCAATCTTCTGTTGCCAGACATTATATTTCTGACTCGCGTTATATATTACTTATATCGATATAAGTAACACATACCACAGTATGATATATTAGACTACTAACAAACACCTTTATTCCCTACAAAGATCACTAGTTTCAATGGTAAAATTGTTCTGAAATCTCAATTATATATTTTCTAGAAAATACTCAAACTTTGATAGTGCTATTTTTTGTCTAGTAAATCTTAATAAAAATGAATCTCATTTTCTTTTTGTTATTAGATATTACAAGGAAAAAATGTAGTAATGTTGTAAAACTTACAGAAAAGCAAAGTATTCATAATTGTTCAGTTAATTCATTGTCTCTATTGAGCATACATGACACTGTAGGAGGATCACAATCAAATTCTCTTATTTCACATCAACCTATAACCATTCTCTTCGATCACTTAGTATATGTTAGTCAAATTAGTCCTATTTCACTAGATTCAAATAATAAAATAAAAATATTAAATGTTTCAACAACTACCGATGGAATATTATTTAAACACATTGTGACGGTAAGTCTAAATTAAATAAGTTTTTAACTACCAGGATCTATGTTTGTGACACCGTTTGTAAAATGGATATAATACATTCCACTGACCATTAAGTAGGAAAATAATACATTGAATGTAATTAATGACTGATCAACACAACTATTACAGATTTATATTTTAATCGTGATTTAAATTGCTTATTGGCACTATCACTATAGCAATGAGTAATACAAGAGTATGAGTCTTGTCAAAACTGTAGATACATCTTGTTGATGAACCTCAAGTAGTCTCAAAACTTAGTAAACGGCTTTCAACCACTTATTTCAGCCACTTTGCATCGAAAATGAGTATATCAGTAAACTTACTAGAGTTTCTAAATGATAATTTTTAGATGATTCGAGTGTTATATAAACAATTATTTAACACTTTCATAAATTAAATTTCATTTTAGATGAAGGAGAGTATAAAACAACCGTATATGGAAAATATATACTTTAGTCCTCTACTTGCTACAAGAGGATTACATTTTATTACTATTGACGCTCAAGATAATACGCGAAATGCAAACTTTTCAGTTGAAGTTTATGGTTGTAGTGCTATTTGGGATCCTCTAAAATTCGGTAAGTTTGAAGCTGCTGTTTCATTTTAGTCTTTATTTTATTCATGAATAACATATTTACAAGTGTTTTGGCATTATTTTTTTACATCAATTTTCATACCGATAACACATTAAAACTTATTATCAACGAATATTTACATACAAAACATTGGGCTAACGCTTCATAAGGTAAAATTAAATATGAGGATAATGTATAAAATGACTCTACATAAAACCCAAATCGTCAGTAAACACAAGTTGATATCAGTTAATAAATCCCTCAAAGAAAGATATAAAGAAATGTCTTTTAACTTCTTTTTGAACTGTCAGATAATATGAAAATAAAGACTTTCTGCACTAAGAAGGACCTGACATACCTGACATTGATCACCACCCAGTGATCAATCAACTCTAACCAGAAGTCTTCTGTTGTTTAGTCCATAAGACATCGAATTATTTAATCTGTAGATTGTTGCATAAACTTCTTTCAGTCATTTACTTTTCTTCGTCACCTTCAGATCCTTGTTCAAAAAAATTTGTTGAAAAAAACAATGAAAACAAACCCTTAAAAACTATATTAATGACTAAAGAATTTATCTTCTATTGTGAAGTATCACCGCTGAAAATCAGAAACATTACAAATGAAAAGCATTGTTTTATGATTACAGGATCATTTCCAATTACTCTAACAGGTAGGCCATTTCTAACCTCCATATTATTATGATCATCATCAAATTTTGAAATTTATACTTGGTACACGTAACGTACATATTTTTTGCACATTTATTCCAGACATGGGACATGAAATAAACGAAATTATAATGTTACTAAAACCAAGTAATGTTATCGTGGGAAGAAACAGTCGTAACAATAGTACACTTATAAGTGAGAATATGGGAAAGTCATGGATAGTTACAAATCAATGGAAATTGAAGAATATGTTGTCACAATCATCTGAGATTATTGATTCTTATGAAACTCCGTGGTTCAATATTCAAAATAAATCCTGTGATGACTTTACTATCAGTCTATGCAATCCAGGTGGTGATCCATGGAAATGTAAGTAGTCTGATTATTGTGCAACAAATTGTTTAAATGAAATACAGATGTTACTGAAGAACGTCTAGACTACCAGTGATTATTAAATATGTGGTCTATGACAAAACAAAAATCAAGAAAAGCAACTAGTAAACCAAAGAAACACGAAGTACGAAAATAATTTAGCTATAACTAAGGAAAAAACTGCACCAGAGAACGGAAAAGTAGGAATGATTGATACTATGTATACATCTTCTCGATGGAAACGTGTTTACTTTGTAAATTAACTCTTTAGATTTCGCCTACATAATTTGTGTATTTATTTAGGCCTAAAAATGATATTTTTAACCAACAACATAATGAACATTGAACCGGTTTGTTTCATAAATACCTCAGAATTCCGGTATTAATCAGTATCTCAAAATAATCATCAAGGGTTCAATCACATTTTATGGTATTTATATTTTCATTCGATTTTGGTTGTTAGATCAGTTTATTCTGAAGAGATTGAACAAGCGAACCAAATATCCTATAGACTTTTGGTATATTTACACTATTATTGGTAAATTTGGATCAATAATTCTATTTAATACCTTATACATTTACTAATTTGGAATTTACAGATTATCTAAACAACTTGGTGTTTCTTTATTTCCAGTTTGTTACAGTGGTATATCATGGGGCAATCGACTGATCACAAATTGGAATGATCGCCATATAACTTAATAATTCAAACTTCGTTTCTTTTATATACATATTTCAACTAATAAATCAAGAATGATGTATGAAATAAATGTCACGTTTTTATCAGTCTCATTTATAATCAAATAAATACCAGACTTTAGTTTCAATTGATTTCAGTTATTTGGATCTCTTTTTGATGCCTAGTATCTGACTTTAACTAAATCGGATGATGATTTTATCGCTACACACATCACAGCTACCGTCGTATATAGTTATCAACTTAAATCGCGTCAGTGAATAACGGAATTACATAAGCCAAATACGAGAATAGATTTTGAATGAGTATATTTCGTACACTGATTGATCTGAACAGACAATCAGAGGAATGAAACGGAGAAGGCTAGTGAGCCAACTCGTTTTGATCAAGCGTGATTCAATGCTTAGAGTCAGACAAAAATAAGTTACAAACACACAATGAATTGGGCAAGCAATTAACACACATACGCTCATATAAAAACAGCCAATGTTGATAAGCGAGTAATTGACAAAATCAAAATGTTGCTCAAGAAGAATGAATAAATTGGTCTGTCCGGAACCTAGAATAACCCAGGTCGGTATGCCATTATAATAAACGTTACATCACGATTCTTACTGTTCCTGATATGATGTCGTATCCACCTAAGATTGTGGGTCTTGTGTAATAGATTCTGATAAAAATTCTATATAACATATATAATACGATAATTCTTGATATTTTTTCGGTTTACGCATGGTAACTGCTAAACGAATGAACAATGGAGAAACCAAATGTGAATAAATCGTATAGCATATGGATTTCGGGTTAACAGCCAAATCGCTAAACGAAATAAGACTCAGCTTATCCAGCCAAATAAACAATGAACAGAGATGGATAGCGACTAGCAGTGAAATCCAGGACGCGCGTTTCGTCCTACTTGAGACCTGAATATCAGAATTGATATTTACTCCACATATTCTATATTAACTAAAGTCATAATGTCTATATCGGGGCAATTCGCACTGGATACCCATATACTACCCAAGGCTGGGCGAATTTTAGTCAAAATATAAACAACATAATAATGCATGTCATTCCAAATTGAATGGATACCCATACCCGTTACAGAAGTGAGCGGCTATCTGAAATCAGTAACTACTTGGATGATTCTGTACTTGGTTCGAGTCCCGGAATAAGCATCAATTCAAACACAAACGCATCCAGCTGACATGTCCCAATTTGGACCAAATACGCGTTCTGGATTCCACTGACAGTCAAATTTGACCTATTGTAAATTAACTGGGAGAATATGTCTGTTATATGTCCCAAGTCATCCATGCATTATTATGCTTAAAAACAAGTCAGCATTGGAATGGTAAACACTAGTTTTAGTTATTTTAAGATTGTAATTAACTGAGTAATATTAGTTAACTTTGTCGAATTACAAAGATGCTCCTTCTCAAGCTTTGTTAGTTTTTAGGGCAAACGAGTGCAGAAATTAACCGTTGATAGTGTTTAATTAAGCAATGATCAATAAAGCTTAAATAAATGTTGAAGAATCTGTAATCTTATTTTTAATAATCATTTGAATACTAGACAAATGATTTTTTCTAGCTGAATTTCACATTCTGATAGGACAAATATTTGATAAGTATATAGGCAATTAATATGAACCAGCATGTGAGTATAAAAGTAAATCACATTATCTTAAACATTTTTATAGTGAAGGAAGGTAACATTGTCAAATTATAAAGATATTGAAGAATTTATTTATAAATGAATCATTAGTTGACCTGTTTTTATCCAGTGCATACCAAGGATTAATCTTTATTATAACTTTTGTGGTTTGTGTGTGCATAGTCAAGAATACTTTCAAAAAGACATTTTATATAAAAGTGCTTGTATTTAATTCATTTGTGCGATCAAGTACAACGAGCTGATGGGTACCAAATAGAACGAAACACGCGTCCTGGTCGTCAAAATTAAGTATTATCATACTTTGTGCATTTTCAGCAGCTAACATGTTTCACAACACCAAAATCTTGTGTTAGCAAGAATAAAATGCAAGTGTATACTTTTATTACATCCACTCCAGTTCATGCGCATTTTATATGTATAATTCGAAATGCATTTTATAATTTCTGATAACTGTTTGAGAATAAACTAAGGTGAAAAGTTTTGTAAAGTGACTAATCACACACAAAAGGTTATTCACAATTTTCTCAGTTATTTTGTTATTTAGGATGTTAATATGATATCAAAAGATAGATTCAGTGTGAGACCATTCAATAACTGAATGTACGTTTATAAGATTTAATTGTTTAATAGGAAATACATCAGTTTCTTTGTTGTCTCAATAATAATCGATGAAATATTAAGAAGAGCACAATATTAGTAGTTAGAATTGTAGTTAATGAGGCATAACCGATCTATTATGAGAAGTGAATATTTTTTTATCAACAATACGACGTATACAGTGTAGGTATGTGTTATGACGCGCGGTGTCCAAGACTGATAATGATATACGAAATTCCTGTGCCAAAGTTCCCGACTAGATTCTCAGCCAGAAGAATTGCAGTGGAGATAGTTTACTAGGATTAACCGATATATATATATATATATATATATATATATATACTAATTTCAATGGTTAAGATCATGAGTCAGTTGAAGCTAGACCACCATGGAAAACCTGGAAGCACTGTTGTGAGATAGTCACTCACTGAAGACAATGGTGGATGTGTCGCTCAGTTTCGTGGATTAGTTGAAGCTAGACAGTAACACCATTGGGTGCCGGCTCAGTGGTCTAGTGGTTAAGTACTCGCGCGCGAAACCAGTAGGTCCTGGGTTCGTATCTCTCAGGGGGCGAGGTCGTGGATGCGCACTGCTGAGGAGTCCCGCAATAGGACGAAACGGCCGTCCGGTGCTTCCAGGTTTTCCGTGGTGGTCTAGCTTCAATTGACTCATGATCTTAACCATTGAAATTACTATAATATCCACAAAACCCATCTGATATATATATACACCTTAGAAAATAAACCTATTTCTTGGTTAATAATATGGAGTCACCATTAAAAGATTTTTGACTGTCAATTTTTGGTTTCTGTTTTATTCACTTTCGATTGACTCAGTGATTATATTATTCATTAACAATATAATCATCTAACTTATTCAGATGAATAATCTCCAAATACCAAGGTCTTGCAAAGTCAGATCTATACATAAATAAATACAAGTATCATAATAAATTTCAAGAATTTTGATGTCTTTAAAAAATCATTCAAACGATCTTTTAGAGTATAAATAACAAATTGCTGATAAAATTTGGAATCGCACTCCAAAATTAGTTGTAAGAACATTCTAGTTGTAAAACAAAAAAAATATTTTAGCAAGCAATAGTTTATGATGACTTCTTCAAACACTTCACTCAGAAATCCATGACTAATATGACAAAACCATAGAATTTTTTGAGTCAGAATACTAACATATAAACAACGAATATACTTTTAAGTTATTGTGCACAAATATCCAAAATGCTACTGGAATATTCTCAAAAAACTATATTCATCCAAACTTAAAATCTTTTAAACGCCATGTACAAAATGTTATCGATTCTATTTGTTCACGCATCCCGTTAACAGAATCCAATATTTCGCCAAGACCTCCTGTGCTATATGAGTTATCACCCGACGAACACTATCCTTCCACCGAATATGTTATCAGAGTTACGACAAAAACACGAAATTATCGTAGCACAACATAAATTTCCGAACAACCGTGAGAGATATGTGTTTAATCATTCTTCAGTATCCTTAACAAATGTACAATTAGAAGCCTCATCTCTACAAACAAAATTCTTTGACAAATTAAAAAACTAATAAAATTCACACACATGTTCAATTTGAGAATTTAATCAAACAAACAAATGATATTAATACATTATCTGATCCAGAATCCCAACATTTCTAATCTACTGTTCTCGATAGCTGCAACCAGTATATTAGTATAAAAGTAACAGGTAAAATTCTTCGAGCGAAAGAACATAGAAACCAACCAAAAGTACTTAGAAACAATAAAGACTTTTTATAATACGTCCAGATAAATGTGCATGAACTTCTCTTTTAAGGTTGGTAGAGCTACAAACGTCTTAAAGAGGAGAATTCCCGAGTCGTTAAAAAGCACTTTCTTCGCAGCAACGTTGCGAGTAGTATTCTCCAGCCGAATATTGTTTATCAATAATTTTAGGAATTAATTATCTCATCTGACCAACACAATATGCATTTGCCAATTTTTATACTTATGTGGAGCGAGATATAGGTCG